AAGCAGGCCTGGTTCTAGACAGCCCTTTCTCCTTGACTGTAAATAGTTCCAAACACAACGAATCACTATGATAAAACAAATCAACAGGCATTCATAGTTTGCACTCTATCATAAGAGTGAGTGGCATGAAAGAAGGAGCTGACATTTCTGAAAACAAGAGACCGACGCCTTCCAGCTTAGCTTCACTGAGTACAATTAAAATGACTACTAATTTTTTATTTTGATTCGTTCATTTTTTATTATATCAGTAATTTATGTATTGATATCAGTCGTTTGTTTATTTAACATTCATTTTATTATTGATATCAGTGTTTAATTTAATGACAAAATTACTGATGATTAAATGACATCAGTAAATGCCACAACCGTGCGTAACAGGAGAGGTTATCTGGCATTTGAATAGCCAATTTAGCTATAGCCAATATCGGACTAAAACATAGCTAAGTATAGTTTAAGAAAAATAACATTACCACAAAACGTATGGAATACACTTGTATATAACATGTTTTAAAACGAATCGATCAGCACTTTACATATATATATGAAACATATTTCCATAATCACAGATACTGATACATATTACGTCACTAAATACATATCTCTCGCACATAATCACATATCACACATACTTTCACAAATTACTCAAGTACAATGTGAGAACAGAAGATATGACCCCTTTATCCCGGCAACATATTCTGCCTTGTATCTCTCACGTTCCTGTTCTAGTTGTCTATATTTCTATATTCATGGTCTCCTAATGGCAGTTTCATTCAACAAATGCCTGCCCAATCTTCAGGATGCTCAACAGTTGGGAGGTGCATACGATTTTGTTCAGCCTTCTGTGCCATCTCTCCACATTGGTTGGTTCATGGACCAACAATAGCTCCAGTCTAAATGTGTTGACGCTTTATAAAGGGTCTCAAATCATAGTTACGTCATCCGTAAGACTGAATGGCACTGACGGCAAGGTGGCTCGTCTTCTGACATCATTTTTGTCACCGATGCGTCATATTTGGAAATGTCCTCGTCTGCCTTTTGAAAGCTTTGATAAAAGCAACTTTTGAGCAACTTATGGCGATCTGGTAAGACGTATCCGTCGTAGTATAAACATGTGACATAAATCACACTTCCGTGTATTTATAGAAATAGTTGTACAGATATCTACGTGATCTCACTTTGATGAATGTCCAAGATACAACCGATATATCTTGGTCGTGCATCAGTCAAACTGAATGCAAACGAGCTTTGAAGCGACTGAATCACAGAACTGAGAATTTAAAGTGAAACATTTGTTATCCGCTTTGAGTCTATAACGCGCAATCTAGCTAATATAGATTTGTAATATGCATCGAGAGGAGTCACTAGTAAGAGGTTCGTATTCAAACTACAGAATGCCTTTCGAATCATGTGGAATACCCACTCTTATTTAAAACTCTTTCATAAATAATTATTTCTGTGTGGTATTTTTGAATTGTGATAACTTGAAGAAAGATAACCGTTTCGCGTCATGAAACAGGTACCGAGATAAAGCTTTGATGAAGTTTAACTTTTACTTGATTATTTCCATTTGATCATTGGCAGAGAAAGAAATATTTGAGTTGTTTCCCTTTGACCAATCGTGATGAACCAAGTATCCAACAAGTTCCAACAAAATATCGTTTCAGCGTTCAACCTATTTCGGATTTGTTTGTGGGTTGGAATCACATAATATTTTGAAAGAGTATTCACGATTACAAGCGTCGAGGGTGTTTCGTGTATCGTCTTCAACACAAGTCGCTAACTTTCGCTTAATGCCTTGTCCGATCGATATATATGGTGACTGGCAAGTGCAGTTCCCCAAATCTCGTGTTTTAGCAGAATCCTGTGATTGTGGGTTTCACCAAAGAATCCGGTGATTGTGGGTTTCACTCGATACCATTCCTCTTGTTTCCCCACATGAAGCTGACACGCCGTGATATAACAGGTGTACTGTTAACACACGCACTAAATCATACACACAACTAAATGGGAATTTACGTGCGTCTCAGATATAGGATATTTTGATCCTTTCGACTCGTTGAATGTTCGTTGGTTGTTTAACGCGTCAGCCAGCATCATTCCAGCTATATCACAGAGGCATTTGAATCATCGAGTCTGGGCCAAACTGTCCGTTAATTGACAGTATGATGGATGTTCCTGGTTATCTGGTACGATGACACACACAACGGCCAAGTCACGGAGAATGACCAGTCGGCTATTATCAGAAATATTCATTCCGTGCATTGAAACTTAACCATTCTTGTCGAATTAAGCAAGGAATATGGAACGCTCATCAGTGATTACTGGTATCGTGGTGGTGTGGTTTTTTTTACCAGATTCGATATCGAATGCATGAATCAAGTTACATAGTGATTGCCGAATCTGTGATTCGAACCCGCGATCGTAGGTTTCTGACACGCCTGAGAGACGCGACAGCCAACTGTGGCACCTTAGACGACTGGGCCATTATTCGCAAATAACGTATTGACAGAGAAAGAGAAATACCTATGAATAGAGTAAGAGAATAATCTTAATGAAGAGAAGAAAACATGGATCGTGAGTGAGTATGGTTTTACGCCGCGTTTAGCAATATTCCAGCAATATCACGGCGGGGGACACCAGAAATGGAATGTATGGATAGATAGATATCTACAGTGTAGATATGGCTTGATCTCACCCAAGCGATATCTCTTCTGGGAGCCAGTTTTGGATGATAAAGGAAAATAATGCATGCATAAAGGAAGCGAAGGATGTGCGAATAGAGGAAAGAAGAATGCATGTATGTCTAGTTTTTTTTACCAGATTCGATATCGAATGCATGAATCAAGTTACATAGTGATTGCCGAATCTGTGATTCGAACCCGCGATCGTAGGTTTCTGACACGCCTGAGAGACGCGACAGCCAACTGTGGCACCTTAGACGACTGGGCCACCCCTGCCCTCAACATCCGATGGATTAAATGACATGAAGAAGTACACAGAATCCCAATTGTCTTCATGTTCTTTAGACTGTCCCACGTTTGGCCATTAGCTAATGTGTGCATTGTCACTGTATTAGTATGTTATGTTATTTCAACTTACAAACGACAAGGAGTTTGAATTTACTTTATTTGAAATAGGCCGTAGCTTCATCCCCATTCATTTATCATTCGAGTTGATGAGAATAGTGTACGGAAGGAGGAAGAGAATAATGTATGAATAGAGGAAGAAATGTTCGTATGAATATATAGAAGAAGCGACACATGTACAGGTATGGATAAATTAATTAAAACAACAAAATATTAACAACAATTGTCTTCAAAAGAAAATTACTATTCTTAAACAGTTCTATGATAAAACTGGAATGAAAGCTGGCATGAATAAGACTAAAATATTTGTTTTAGATAGGGTGGCTCACTTCGCAACTATAAAAAGTGCTTCTTATATGGCCAGCAGATTGAGATGGTGAATATGTAAAGACATCTTGGAATAATCTACTAACCACTGCATGGTCTAAAGCACAGAGTTACTTAGAAAACACGAGCCAAGAAAGCACTTCCCTCTTTTTAACTAACAGAAACATTTTGGCTTTATCCCCAAGGTTTTTGATTCAATGGCAATCCCAATTTTCTTACACTAGATTACATTAGTACACCAATAATAATATGGTACCTGGTGAATGTGATAGGCTCCCATGAAGTTAAACTATATGCCCAGAGGAATTACGTTTTGGTGCAGACTTATTCATCTTGATAAACACCGATTGTCCTATCAGTCCTACCTCATGCTCAAATGTATTTCAGTATGGATTTGATTTTGTGTGGTTAAGCCAGGACTTTGGCTATACACAACTGTTCATGTCAGCCCGTAAACAAAGATTGTATGACTGCTTCACTATACAGATTACATGTTTACTCGTCAGACTTTTCATCAAAATGTCATTCTTACTCACAGTTCAAGTCATTACTTAAAGTTGAAAATACATCTTATCTTTCTAAATAACAAAGGTAACGTTCAGCTATGTTTATATGTAACAAATTTAGAATATCATTAGATAGTGTCAGGTACCAAGATAGAGTGTTGTATTGTTAGTCAAGAGGCTTTAATTATGTTCAAGATTAATTTCATGTATCATTGGTGAGAAGTTGCTACTCATAGGCTAGACGTGAACGCTTTTTTGAATAACTTAGGAAGTAACCCATCAAATAATATGTTTGTGATAATAATGTCAACAGATAATGTTAATATTGTAAAATGTCGTTACATGTGTCTTGGAAAAGCTCAAGTGATAAGAGACTGCACTTCAATAAAATTAAAAACATTTAGTTCACATGTTTCAACTTAATCAGGGATAATATCAACCCAACAAAACGTTCTTATGTATTTGAATATTTTATGTATTATGGTCATTCAATACTGAATAAAAGTGTCTGTCTGTATGTATAAATGAAGGGAAGAATGTATGTTAAGAGGGAGATAAGTGTGTATGTATAAACGAAGAGAAGAAAGTATGTATAGAAGTATGTACGTATAAATGAAGAGAAGAATGAATGGATAGAGGGATAAAAGTATGTATGGGTAAATTAAGGGAAGAATGAATGGATAGAGGGATAAAAGTATGTATGGGTAAATTAAGGGAAGAATGTATGGATAGAGGGATAAAAGTATGTATGGGTAAATTAAGGGTAGAATGTATGGATAGAGGGAGAAAAGTATGTATCGGTAAATTAAGGGAAGAATGTATAGATAGAGGGAGAAAAGTATGTATTTACCAATGAAGATAACGTATGGATAGAGGATAGAAGTGTGTGTGAATAGAGGAAGAGAATAATGTTATAAAAATAACGTATTGACAGAGAAAGAGAAATACCTATGAATAGAGTAAGAGAATAATCTTAATGAAGAGAAGAAAACATGGATCGTGAGTGAGTATGGTTTTACGCCGCGTTTAGCAATATTCCAGCAATATCACGGCGGGGGACACCAGAAATGGAATGTATGGATAGATAGATATCTACAGTGTAGATATGGCTTGATCTCACCCAAGCGATATCTCTTCTGGGAGCCAGTTTTGGATGATAAAGGAAAATAATGCATGCATAAAGGAAGCGAAGGATGTGCGAATAGAGGAAAGAAGAATGCATGTATGTCTAGTTGGAGAACATATCGTAAATGTAAAGGAGCACATTGTGTGGATGAAGAAAGAGAAGAATGCATGAATGTTCAATTAGGTTGGAATGTTCATAGTATTGTGGATAAACAGTGTCAATGAATGGATCCTTAATAACGCAGATATGTGGTCACCATTGTCAGCTTTATCTTAAGATTGTAGATTCGGCGGTTAATTGATTGTTTTACCATTTTTTTGTTTTTAACGATTGATAAACGAGAGTAATATAAGTATGTATTCAAAGTATTTTATTACTCATGATAGGTTTCCATACCAAAAGATGCAGCATATCAATCGCCTTGGGACTGCATGACAGAACTTCTTGCTGTAAAGCCTTGTTTTCTGCAATATGTTAATTAGCAATGCTCATGAAATAGGCACGAATGAAAGAGTACTGAAATGAAGGTATTGATAGAATATTAATATTTGATATATTAAAAGATGAGAAATAGAGGAACAAAAGAATGTATGAAAAGAGGACGACAGAATGTATGACTAGAGGAAGTAAAGAGTGTATAAGTGTATAAATAGAGGAATTAAAGAATATATGTAAAAAAATGTATGTATAAGGAAAGAAAAGGATTTATGTGTCGCAGAAAATGTGTGTGTAGAGGAAGAAATAATGTAAGGATATAGGAATAAAATAATGTTTGTATGGATGAAGTAAGGAATGTATGTATAGAGTAAAAGAGATTGTATAGATAGAAGAAAAAGAGATTGTATAGATAGAAGAAGAGAACAACGCATGGATAGTTGAAGAAAAGAATTTGTGTATAGAGGCAATAAAGAATGTATGTTTAAAGGAAGTAAAAATATATTATAGAGGCAGTAAAGAATGTATGTTTCGAGGAAGTAGAGAATACATTATAGAAGAAGTAAAGAATGTATGTTTCGAGAAAGTAAAGAATATATTATAGAGGCAGTAAATATTGTATGTTTAAAGGTAGTAAAGAATGTGTTGATAGAAGGAGAAAACAACGTATGGGTAGTGGAAGAAAAGAACGTTTATATAATAGACTAAAGAAAGTAAATAACGAATGTGTAGAAGAAGAAAAGATTGTATGTCTATAGGGAGAAATAAATGTATGGATAGTGGAAGTAGATAATGTATGTAAAGAGAAAGAAAACAATGTATGTTTCGAGGAAGAAAAGTATGTGAGGATTGAGGAAGAAATGACTGTATGATAGAGAAAGTACATAATATATGAAAAGATGGTGTAAAGAGTTTAAGATCATATGAAGAAAAGAGTGTATGGCTATAGGAAAACAATATTGTAAGGATGGATTAAGTAAAGAACGTTTGGATGTGGAAGAAAACGTGGAATATAAAGATTGTATGGAGAATTATGGAAGGGCAGAATGTATATAGGAAAGATGAAGAAAAAATGAATGATGGCGGAAGAAAAGATTGTGTGTATAGGCGAAAGAAGGCTTAGTAGAGGGAGAAAAGTGTGAACAGGGGATAGAGGAAGGAAAGAACATATGTGTAGAGAAAAGAAGGTATTGAGAGTGGAAGCAAGGGTGTATGATGAGAGGACATAAGAATCTAGCCAGGGAAAGAAAGGAACGTTGGGATAGCAAAAGAGAAGAATGTTACCGAAAGAAGATAGTGAAGAATACACGGATAGAAATGTAAAGAGGACAGTTGATAGATGAGAGAAAGAATATACAAAAAAAGAAGGTGAAGAATGTATTGAAAGACGCGGGAGCAGAAAATAGTGCGTGAGGGCATAATGTGTCTCCCTTACCTATTGTTGAATAAATTCATAATGCGCCTTGAAACCCTTTCGCGCCTCACTGCCGTCGGTGTGGAAGTCAATAATCAGACCGCCTTCGACACCAGGCACTGAAAAGAAGACAGTTAATAGTCAATCGTTAATCGTGTTTCCTAAACCTAAAGACGTTTTTAATTAAGACCTAAATAACTATATTTTCATCTTATCACCCATCAGTGTCTCAAGACGACATGTCGCCAGGATCACTGACGCATGATTCCAAACAACCATCGTTCACGAGAGATTACCTGTGATTGTCCTGGGTGACGTCCCACAGTATTTCTGATGAATCACTTTGAGGTAGTCGAAGCAACGTTGGAGAGATCCCTCGATGTCCATTTCCTTTTTAACTCGGATATATGGAATTATTTCTTTTTAACTAAAGAAACAGATTTGGAGGTCACATTACTTACGCATTGCAAATACTTGGACAATTCCTAGGAGGAGGCATACAGTAACTGCGTTGATTACCATTTCTTGAAAAAGTCACAGGTTCTCTGGATCAGAATGGCAAGACAAGAATTACTATCGTTATCCTATGTGTTTTTGCAGATTCTACAAGTGAAATATTTCGTCTCAACGCTAAAATGTGTAAACTATTTTGGTGACTGCGAATACGATTGATCCAACTTTCCACACAGTCACGCCACTGACGCATGTGTATGTTTGTAGGCTGAGTTATAATCAACAGCATACGATAAATACAACACCACGTGTCTTATTATGTTCGTCAATACCAAACAATACTTGTGTGTAACCTGAAGCACGTAAATTCCAATATATACCATATTTTTATTAAATTGCTCTTTCTTTTAAGCTGATGACAGATGTCCCTCGCTTGATAACAACGCCATAATTGAAATTGTGTTGACAGATAAGCAAGAATACGGCGTACAACATATGCACCTCTACACCCATCCATAAAAAAAATATATTTACAGAAAAGCATTAACAAATTTATAACTATACTATTTGTAGAGTGACCCTTGTTGCCTTTGATCATGTCTTTATCAAATAATCTTCAGTGGGCTATTTGCGAATTAGTTGTCATAACAATAAGAGAATATCCCACAAGAAACGGATGATTACAGAAAATATGTCTCGGGTGAATATATTCTCAGCTCCATTTTTGTTCAGGGTAATAGTCTTAGTAATCAACAAAGTGGTACACTCATTTCTAAATACTGAAAACTCATATGTAACATTGCAAAGGAAACGATGACAAAATATGATCAAACCATTATTAAATTTCTAATTAACAGCATATAAACGCCTTCGTGTGTCATTAATTACCTGTGGGTTTAAGCCACCAAGATGTGATTACAGCAGGAGAACAGGACAGCTTCTGCCGACGAATACTTTACTTGCACAGATGGCGTTGAGAGGCATGACGGGAACTGTGGGTCGTTCTGTGAGACACCATTGATTGTTTCCGATGATATTTGATGAGGGTTTGATGAATTTGAGCCCCGGAGTATGCTGGAAGTAAGTGTGTGTGCCTGAAGTATGTTTGTTCCCATGGGCGTCTTTGCGCGTGTGTGCAACTCTGCACAACGATTAGATGTGACCTTGTATGCTGAGCAAGTCATTAGGTAACATCGGAAGGTTTGACCTTGGGTCCAACACTGACATTGAGACCAGTTTGAATTTAAGTCGCAAGGGCAAAGAGTGAATAAGATAGACTGGAAACTATGACTACGGGTCACCTGATGGGGATGTCAGAAAAAAATGTGTAAGCACCGTGTGAAGACGTAAGTGGGAAAAAGGTGAAAATTTATCACATCAGGAGACAAGAATGTCGTCTCGTTAATTGATATTCGCTTCACCAAAGCCTCGGAAAATACCGATTAAATAAGACTCGGTTGATATTTCCCATATCAAGAAACCCACTCGTGATGACTACTAAACTGTGTAATATACACGACTTGTGATATATTAGATGGTAAAAAGTGCAATATACACGACATGTGACGTATTAGATGGTAAAGAGTGTAATATACACGACATGTGACGTATTAGATGGTAAAGAGAGCAATATACAAGACATGAGACGTATGAGATGGTAAAGAGCGTAATATGCACGACATGTGACGTATTAGATGGTAAAGAGTGTAATATACACGAAATGTGACATATTAGATGGTAAAGAGAGTAATGTACACATGTGACATATTAGATGGTAAAGAGTGCAATATGCACGACATGTGACGTATTAGATGGTAAAGAGTGCAATATACACGACATGTGACGTATTAGATGGTAAAGAGTGTAATGTACACATGTGACATATTAGATGGTAAAGAGTGCAATATGCACGACGTGTGACGTATTAGATGGTAAAGAGTGCAATATACATGACATGTGACATATTAGATGGTAAAGAGAGTAATGTACACATGTGACATATTAGATGGTAAAGAGTGCAATATACACGACATGTGACGTATTAGATGGTAAAGAGAGTAATGTACACATGTGACATATTAGATGGTAAAGAGTGCAATATACATGACATGTGACGTATTAGATGGTAAAGAGAGTAATGTACACATGTGACATATTAGATCGTAAACCAGTGCAATATGCACGACATGTGACGTATTAGATGGTAAAGAGAGTAATATGCACGACGTGTGACGTATTAGATGGTAAAGAGTGCAATATACACGACATGTGACGTATTAGATGGTAAAGAGAGTAATGTACACATGTGACATATTAGATGGTAAAGAGTGTAATATGCACGACGTGTGACGTATTAGATGGTAAAGAGTGTAATATATCGACAAGTTACATATCAGATAGTAAACAGTGCAATATACACGGCGTATGACATATCAGAAAATAGTTCCTCGATAAGAGAGGTGAGAAATGTTTATGCTGTAGCACGTTTTGGGGATATGCTAGAATAGCCAGATCTGTTAGGATACAGTGGAATTAATAATTCCATTGATAATCAATATTATGTTATTATTATGGTATGGGTTAAGTAGATTGTATATACTCCAGCTGCTACATAAACACCTGGGGAAAGGTTAAACACAACCCTTCTTTGATTTTGAAATATCGCGAATTCTATGTATGTTTTAAACAGAAGTATAGAAATATTGAATATATATCTACATGTGACATTGAAGTAATGTTGAATATTTTATTTAACTTGACGTTTACACAATATACGGCTTTTCCATTGGACGAACGGTCGGTCACATGTACGCGAAATTGACGTTTCTAAAGGACACAATTTGACGTTCATACGTATTTCACGAGACCGTCAAATGACGTAAACACTGACGGACTACTTGCACGTTCTTCGGGGAACCCCTGGGAATTCCCTAGCACGAATAAATAGAGAAGCATTCTTTCTGATCATTCAGACCACTTAATCTTGAACTCAGCGATTTAGTATTGAGAAACGTCAAAGAGTTGTACTGGATGATCGTTGACGAATATCCACCGACACAGGTTCATCAACAACTTCCGAAATATCTCCCGTCACGTTTATCGTGTCGGCCATTTTGACGTCATGTACTTGATGTATTGTATTACGGCGCGCTGTCAATGTGACTGACTTACTGAGGTAGTTCTTAACAGACCTTTTTCATCTAATGGGGATATTATTTGAATACATATGTTGTGTCAGCTGTTTTTGAAGAGCAAGCTGTGCATACAAAAGGTCCTGTCACCTCTCATGTCGAGGAACTATTTTATTCCGCGATGCAGTTAGTTGTTGTATGGCAGTAAGTGTAAACATGAACTCACACGTACTAAACAAACTTGTGTATAGACTTAGGCCTACTTCCTTTGAGGTAATGAAATACTTTTATCCTGGCGTATGGCACGTAGATATCCTTATGTAGAAAGTCAAAAGCGATGCAGGTCGAAGACGTATACAAGGTTCTCACATCTGGACAGGGATAGACCTATTATTCAATAATACATCAACCGATAACTGATAACTAGGGTATCTGTTAAGATTCCAATGTACAATTAAAAAAAAAAAGATACGAGTCACAGATTAAGATAACATGCTTCGTCAAAAACTGTCGGAATAACCCCCAACAAATTGGAACGAGTGAATTGGATTTTACGCAGTTTTAACAATATTTGGTGGAAATCAGGTCATAATTGAAGCGAGTCTGTATTTTGAACTAACAAACAGCACATTGTAGAATGGCTAACTTTGCAAAGCGAAACGCACCTCGTTAGAATGGCCTAATTGCTCAATCAACATATTTGAATGTCTGCCACTTGGTGGAGTTCTCAAACCCACACAAGCTGCACCATCAAACATGCCTGTATGCTCCATCACGTTTGGGGGATTTGTCAAAAATGCCCAATCTGTTTCATGCCATATCTATAATTATGTTCGACATAGATCTATATAATGTAATTACTATCAGATCGTAAGCCAAGGTGTACCTACGCATAACCTGGCTATATATACTGAACAGCATTGAAAACGCACCAGCAATAAATCTTGAAATATTACAAAAACAGCTTGAGCAATGACCGATTTTGATAGAACAGACATAGACGGATTATTAAGAAAGACGACAAAGGAAACAGGAATACCACACAGTAATTGTGCAACGACTCTACTTGACGTACCAACTTGAAGCATGCCCAAGGCACGTTCACGTTCCTCTGCTGTTAATCTTGGCATTTCTTGTGTCAGCACCCTTTACGTCTGCAGCAACACGCTTTTAAAAGTCTGTCTTTTATAGCCCTATTCTGCATGCTTCCCGTGAAACAAAACACGTTTTCCATGATGTGCACGCAATTTGTTGCGTTTTGGCGATTTCGCTCATAAAATAAATTAGGAATGTGTTTTAACGAGCTGTTCTTCTTCATGCTTCGTCCAGAACGTCGTATATTACTCATTCACTTATATATTTTCTTATGACCTAAGCCCGGATAAAAATACATCCATTTTCATGGTGGTGCGTTTTCAATGCTGTTCAGTATATTTGGGTTTGATTTATCGTTGTACACTGGTATATACATGTACGAGCGCTGGCTGAAAAGTTTTGAGCCTAACCATGATGCACTGCTTTGATGATTATTTTTCAGCATAATATCCAACGAGGCCCACACACTTCAGACAACGATACTGGTGTGAATGGATCCCACTGGCGTGAAAAGGTTCCTCCTGGTGGCGTAAAACGTCGAAATGACGCTATCATCATTTGCATAATGTTCTTTTCTTTCTTTACAATGACAGAGAACTGACGGTGCTAAATCGTTGCTGAAGTTCCTTTAGTTCAAAGCCACTGTCATGCATTGCAGCCACGGTGTCAAAAGACTTGTGCACAGGTGCATTGTCCTGGCGGAATAACACA